AGAAAAACGCTTCCCTGAGCCTCTGGGGCAGTGCCGGCCACGGGCGGCTCTCGGCCCACTGCTGGCTCAGCTCCTGCCAAGCCGGTGGTTTTCCTTCTCCCGCTTCAGTTTAGCGAAGAGCCGCGTTACCGACTGCTGTTTGCATTACGCTGGCTCGGAGCAGGAAGTGGCGAGGCAAGCTGCTGCGCAAAGTGCCCTGCCAGCAAACAGCACGCAAGTTGCTTAAGTAAGCTTGATTTTTTTTTTGAGTAGGGTTTGGTGGTGGTTTTTTTTTTTCCATACAGTGTCTAAACCTAGCTTTGCCCAGAGGCTAACAGTTTGTATGGGGGAAACCTCGGAGGACCAAGTCATTTGCTACAGATCTGTCTGCTCTAAGAGGAGAAGAAAAGCATGTTCTTCAGTTCAGGTTGAAAAAAACCGTAGCTTAAAAAGGCAGGAGAAACCAGGCTCCCTTGATTTCCTTCCCCCTGCCCCTTGGCTTATACTAAAGCCCTGGAGCTTTTCCTCATGGCCAACCCACCTCGTGTCGCCTCAGCTGCTCTTTCAACGCATGGTCTGGACGCTTACTGTCCTTTGGGGTGAGACAGTGTCCCAAAATCGCCCTCAGCCCTCCCAGTGTTGCCCCACTGCAGCGTGACTTCAGGCAGCCGTCCAGTCCCGGAGGAACGCGGGCGAAGACGCAGCGGGGCAAGTACGGGGTCGGAAAGGCCAGAGCGTCCGCCGGGGCTGGTCCTGGGCTGGAGCTCCCTTCGCCACCTTGACGCAAGGAAGCGGAGGTCTTAACTTCGCTCAACGGCCTGGAAGACGGGGGAAGAGGACGCAGCTAGTGACCGACAAATCCTTTTCTTCTCTCCAGCCAAAAACGAGTCCCTGGGCCCTGGTGCTGCCGGGGTGGCTGAGGGCTGGCCGGGCGCGTGCCGCCTTTGCCGCTGCAGGGTCAGGTCTCCTCTGCTCGCGCTGGAGGCTGCGCCAACCCGGCGGCACCGTTTCCCGGCCGGAGCGGAAAGGCCGTGGGGGGCAGCGC